CCCTGCTAAAGAATCTGTCCCCTTCTTTCCTGCAGCTTCTCTTTAGGTACTGATAGGCCTCTTGCCATCCACCAGTACTGAATCCTTTTTGGCAGGACTGTTCTCTGTCCTTTTATCCTCCAGATTGTATTGACAGTGGAGGTTGCCTCAACACAGGTGCAAGGCTTGCACTTAAAAGTGTTGTGGTAACTGCAGAAGAGTACATACAGGAAGAGGAGAAGACAACACTGATACATAAAGAAGACTATACTGAAGTTTGGGTTGATAGGCATAGTTATACTTTGATGTCAGAAAAGAAGACTTTGTGAGATATCGCTGAACTGCAGAAACAACAGTAGACTGTTTTCTTTGAAAAGCTCAAAGGAAAGCCTTTTTCCAAATGTCTGATCTTAGTTTAGAAATCACCTGAAACCATTTAGGCATGCTTTATATTGTGGAGTGTTAAAACACATCTGTCTAGTGTTACAGACAAGTTTAGAGATAGGTGTCCACATGTCTGTGTATGAGTAAATAAATATTCCAAATACATGGCTACAATTTCTAAGATTCAGTCAATTTTAGTTATTGAAATTAACAGTATGTTAAAGGTTTAAATGTTAATTTTGGAAAGATATAATAACACCTTTGAGAAACCAAAGCAAATATATAAATTCTTGATAATCACAGTTCTTTTTGTTAGGGGGAAGAAATGTATCTGTGAGATTTTCATAAGAAAGTTGCATAAAAATCCAGGCACACAATCTGTATTAGGATGTTTTCATACATGACTGTCTTGTCAAAATTTGGATTTAAGCTATAATTTTAAGGTTTCAAATTTAATGTCTCATTAAGAGAAATGAGGTGGAGGAAGAATTTTTGCCAGTGTGGTTGTTTCAGTTCAATAATAAATTGGCATCGTCATTCACAGAGAGAACAAAAGAAATAGTTTAGAAATTTATTTCTAATGGAAGTTTAACTTTTGAAGAACACAGAGATATCTGAAAGGTAAAAATCACAGATTTCTCATGCTTCCAGGTTTTTATTGCCTCTGGTAATACATGTCCTTATTTTTACATCACATGTATGTGAAAAAAATAGATGTAATATTTAAAGATGCCTTTTGACAAAGAAAATATTTCCATCTCTAGAGGTGAGACTTATCTTTAAAGGATGATGAGCAGTTTCCAGATGTGTTTTTCAAGTACTGGGCTTTCCTTTCCTTAAGTCTTGACAGAGGAAAGGTTTTATCAAGGTCTCTCTGATGCTCTTGTTTATTATGAGAAGACATTAGTAGAGTACATCCAAGTGCTTATCGCCTAACAGATGATTAAAGAGAGCATATGGCAGGGAAAATAAATATATATTTGTCCAAGCAATGTGGCTTGTTGACACTCCCACACTCACCATAAATTGTGTATATATGTACTCCCTATTATATGTACACTACATGTACATATAGTATTTTGCAAATCTCTTTTCTAATCAGCTAAAAATAAAAGCCAAATAATGCTTTTTTTTTTTTCTCTGATATTGAAATGTCAGGCAAAGTTGATTTAGAATTTTTTAACTAAGCAATTAAGCAGTACAGAAGATTTTTATAGTATTTGTTTTGCTTTAGTCTGACATTTTACAGCAGGATATGTGTTCTATTTATTTCACAAGGTCACCAGTTTTATTCTTGCAGAATGGTATTTGGTTCATCTACCTGTTTGTCCATGTACAAACATCATACAACATTGCAAGCAGTAATACAAGTTACAGTGGTCTATGTCAAACCCTAGTCTAGATCAGGACATAAAGTTCATTGTGGATTCCCTCCACTTCTATATGATGAAAGTATCAAGGAAGTTAGAATATCTGCCAGTAAATAGTTTGCAAGCCAAAAAATAAAAAAATCTCACAACCCAATCTATCTTTCATTAAGTTATAAAAAAAAAAAAAAAAAAAAAAAAAAAAGAAAACCTACTAATTTCAGACTGCCTTATTCATTTAGGAGACACAAAGAGAAATGCTGGAGAAATATGTATAGCTCTTGACATAAAACGTTTCTGATGACTCCTTTGGTCAAGAATATAACATTCACCCACCTTTTATATAATGGACAAAACACAGTATGACTACCTAACTGTGACATCTAAATATGACAATCTTCTTATATAGTATTACTAGAAAAAGAAAGGTAATCGTAGTTTCAAGGTGGATTTTGATTGTTCAGAAGAAAGTATTTATAAATAAAGCAGCACAGAAGAGCTGCATTTTGTTTTGCTTTTCAGAATGTTCCTATCAAAATTTTGTTAAATATTTACATCTGCATCCAAGTATTGGACTCCACATAGCAGTTTATTCTTGCAATTTAACTTCATTAAGGTCATTATACTGATTTAGAGTATGATAGACTAGTGCTTTGGGAATGAATTATAAAGAGATTAATTTTACCTACTGGCGATAATTGACCCCATAATTCCTATCACCCCTAATCTCAATTCACATGAACCAATGTTAAAAGTGGCAATACTCACAATGTAGGCAAGGTCGTGACAGCTAGTATTGTTTCTTACTACCAATTAGATTTCCCACTTGGTGAGTTTGACTAATGTCATAGAAAGGGTTTCAGGCATGGAAATAGGTTTTTTTAAGACACACAAGCACTAGAGCTGATGAGCATTTTGTTGTACGTTTCCCAGTGTACAGAATGCAATTGAATGCTGACCCATAAAGTTTGAATTCACATAGAGATTTAGAACCTATCTTGATCCATGAAAGAGCTAGAAACAAACAGTAATTTGAATCTGGAAGCAAACTTTCTTGAAACTTGATGATGGTAAAATGTGGTGTGCCTAGCATGTTTGGAACCATCTCTTGTTGATAATACTACATTTGTGGTGTACTTCAGATGAGGAACCAAAATAAAAGAGTGAGTTTTAATTGAATAGATGCTTTTCAAAATCAAATCATGTTGATAGTTAGCTGCAAATGACGTAGAGACTTCAAAAAATACAAGGAAAAGATAAATGGATTTTAAATGTGATGTATCTTAATTTTTCCCCTAAGTAATAGTGCCAACTTCAAACACATTAACATAACAGTTTTCTGAGAAAACAACAGAACAACAATACTCTTGCATAGCACTTCAGCATAAGATTATTTTTCACATTATTACTAGTTATCCATCAGCTTTTTTCCAAGTATTTACAGATTTGTGTTTCTGGAGTAAGCTGAAACTGTGTGATAAAATAAGACAGATAATGATAAAAAGCATATGTATATGCAAGCCTAGCTAGAAGGAGCAAAGAACACTATTACTGCCCCTCCTGTGAAGTTAATCCTATTTCTTTTGGCCATTTCTTCATTAGTTTATGAGGTCTAGGGGAAAAAAAAATTAAAATGTGTTTGAAATGGTATTTTTGCATCTTGCCTTAAGGTACATCTACAAATATTCATAGAATAGTTTGTTCTTGGAAGGTACATTAAGTGTGAGTTTAGGCAATAATTACTTCTAATGTGAGTGGTCAGAAAATTGCATTTGAAATGGACAAACAAAACAAATAGCATTTTCCTCATTCTTATTCACCATACTGGCTGAAAAGTTAAATAGCAAATAAAGGAAAAATTTTAATGATCAAATTTGGAGTGGGGAAGTGTGGAGAAGGTAAGAGGGAAAAACTTCAAGGCTCAGGTTATACATGTGCTAGCGTTAATTAGATTTGAATTCAGCTGCAGTCTTACTCATGAGCTTCTCCTTCACTTAACTATCTATGTCATCAGAAGTATGCAAAGGGTTTGGCTGCTATCTCTGTGAGATGAGTGCCAGAGGACGTAACTACATCCCAATTCTGTCCCCTGCCCCATACTAACCAACACCTCTGCAGACCTCTGCATAGCAATTTTGGGATCACAGTGAAAGTGACCTCTGTGCTCTGTAGCCCTGTTCTTCATGCTGAGGCTGGAACGTGCTCTGAGGATGAAAATCTGGAAAAGCCTCCAAAAGCCAGTTCTTAAGACACCTTATGCATTTGTACAGCAACTGCAGTTTACATTTTCAGTCTGGTGCTTTTGTTCTATTGAAAAAACAACTCATGTATTTTTTTCCGTGGTAGAATTACTGAGGGCGTGAAGCTGTAACTGTTGGATTATTCTGTACCCAGAGTTTCAGCTTGTTCCATTTCATTCAACATTCTTAGACTTTCATTCTCCAGGAGTACAACTAGATCTCCTGAGCATCTCCTGGCATTGTCTTGTGAACAGGGAGAGAAACCACCAATCCCTAGAGTTTTCGATACATACATAGTGCATTAAGCAAAGGCATTATATTTCTACCAGCTCGTTAAAAGCTTACAATGGATGCATTAAAAGCTTGCAATGGATGTGTCCATAAGTTGATGACTTGTACTCTGCTGCTTCGCAAACTGTCAACCAGAAATAAGTAAATCAAGGCTATGAGCAGTGTCTCCATGTTGAAAGTAGCTAGCAATTAAATTAAAACCGTTATGGAAAAGTTTCAAAACTAATGATCTTTTCGTCTCATATTCAGTTTCAAAATGTTAGGAAATTAATGCTCCTTTTCTCATTTCATTAGTTCAATTTTCTCCCCTTCTCTCCTTTCTTTTATTGGATTCCTAGGGGTTTCTCTGTTATTATTATTCTCTTTCTGTAACAACCACTACAGTAAAAACCAATAGCACAGGAGTTCTGAGTTTTTATTTGATGAATGTGAAATATTTGCCTATATATATAATAAAACAAATATATATTTTATATATATATATACATATATTTATTATATATATATATATACGCATTATATATTATACCTATATATTTGTTTTATTTTATTTTGCCTTGAGGACATATCGACAGTCAATATTAATAAGCTTAAGACTAATACTGGAAGTTAATTATTACAGTTTCTGGTTGTGGTAAGTGTTCTATAGGATATAGTAATTATATCCTTTAAAAGAAACTGATGTCATGGTCGCATCCAGAATTCACTGGATTTTCTTTTACTGTTTTTTTTTTTTCAGGTGATTCATATAACAGGCCGCTTACGTCTGAGAGTGTCACTGTCTCATGGACGGACAGTACCCAGCCAAATCATGGGACTTGTTGTCGTTGCTCATGCTTTGCCACCTCCTACAATTAATGAAGTCAGGATTGACTGCCACATGTTTGTCACTCGTGTGAATATGGACCTCAATATCATTTACTGTGAAAATAGGTACAGATTTTAGCTCCTTTTTTAATTGTTTTATTTCCATATATTCTTTATTCCGTTGGCTTAGTAAAAAGTTTTGGAATTTGTGATTCCTGCAATGTCACTCTGGTGTTGTATGAGAGCACTGGATTCACACTCATTGTCATCATCTCCATTACTGTTGCATTCTTAGAGTATAAACTAAATACTATGTTTTGAAGGAATTGTTCCTGAAATAGGGGAAGATAGATCAGAAGAGTTTCGTTTAAGCTTCCCTTGCTTTTTACAATCTGCCATTGTACCCCTCAGAGGCAAGATTCAAAGCTGCTCATATGACTTATATGGCTGTCCTTACACGCTCCCCTGTCTCGACAAGTCCTACTTTATTTACAGTTTCCTGGTTTTGAACAAATCTGTAGATTGCAACACATTGTGCTTAGTGTTTAATGGAACAGAAGCACAGATGGCCTAGATAGTAGGCTAGGAGAGGTGGGAAAACTGTAGATTAAAATTGTTTAAGGACATATTAGGAAAGGCAGCAGTGAAATGGGAAGAGGTGAATGAGGAGTTGGTGGGAGAGGAGGCTATGTTTAATGTAACAGGGACAAGTGATTTAGGAAAGTAGAGAGAATTTAAGTTCAGCCGTCTACTCCCTATGACTAGGGCATCAGGAGTGGCAGGATTTGGGGCAGGGAAGCCCTGCCAGGACATTCATGTTAATGCCTATTGTTGCCATTGGGACCTTTAAAAATAGATATAAAATGTAGAGAACAGGTATTTGGAGCAGAATGAAGAGATCTGAGAAAGAAGATATGATAAGGAAGTTTGAGTTCTGTTGATGGAAATCTCAGAGAAAAGCCACAAAACTTTGTCAAGAGAACCTGTCATTAAAAAGTAGAACAAGCAAGATTGCTCGGGCAAGCTTTTCATGTATCTGCAGAAATTGTGTGTTGTAAATAAGAGTTCAAGATCTCTGTAATAATCAATAATGGAACACCTCTGTTCAGAATAGTACATCCGCATAAATGCTCTGTTGAATCAGGGCCTTACACAATTTACAATAGTTCCGAGTTTCAATTATTAGTATATCTTTGCTGTCATGTTGCTAAACTTCCACAATAATGGTATTAAAAATATTATTTGTCTATTAAAGAGACCACTTCATCTAAACTTCCAAAGTATTTTCTAAAGGAAAATGTATTATTCTCATTTTTAAGTTTGGAGAAATTGAGCAATAGTAGGTGACTTGCACAAGTTCACACAGAAAGTTGATAACAATATAAAAATTTACACTGGATTTTTGCCTGTGATTCTACCCAATGAGTTTCTAGATTCTGTATAGTCTGGCAGCTATTGAAAGAGCTCTGGGATTTAGCACTAGGATCTAAAAGAAAACTTTAGCCTTAGTGTGTGATTTGACTGTGACCTACACTGGTGGTAATGGAGCTACCACTGCAGAGCTCATCAATGGTCTCTGTGAAATGAATTTCTGGTGTCTGTCCAGTTCCTAATTAACAGATTTCCTTTTAACGAAATCACATGCACTTACTGTTACCTTTGCTGGCAACCTCAATGGGAGAAAAAAAGCCAGGAATGAAATGAATGTGGAAAATGAACTATTCCATCAGGTCAACTATAATATAAATTTTTGGATTGCGTTAGAAAGATTTACACTTCTCTGCTGACCATTTGGCATTTTTAAGAACCCTACACTGTGTGTGTTTGTGTTTAATTAAACAGTTTTTTCAAACTTCCCATGCATTTACATGTAGAAATTAGTACTTAAAATTCCTTGAGAAAGGCATCACTGAAAAACCTAAAGTGCATCGCACGTGGAATGCTGTTTGGAAATCACAAAGAAAAAGCCAGTAATGTGGTAAACTATGGTAAGCTAGCTGATTTACTTATGCAAGAAAACATTGAGCATAATAACATTTTTCATTAGAAAAGGCAAAGACAATATCATAAAGTTGCTTTTCCCTGTCTATAGTGGATTTCTTACACAGTAGGGTGGAATGCATATGATGATACTTAAATTTATGTTGCAATAGTTACATTTTTAAGACTCAGTGGCAGTGTTAAAAAATTATAAAAGGAATTTCAAATAGTAGAAACTGTTCTGCCAGGACTGAGAGGTGAATGTTAGCTCAGTGAGACAGCGGGGCTTCCACTCCTGAAAAATAGTGTTAGATTGGCAGGACTTAAATTTCATAGCAGGCACATAGTAGAATAAGACTATTAAAGCTGGAGGAATGGAAAGGGCAAAAGAAGGCAAGGAAGTAACTGAACAGCTGATATGAAGCTGTCAGATGAATTATCTGGGCATGTGCCAAGGCCATTCTCTGACTCAAGGAAGTTGGTATCTCTCTTCTGGGGCTATAGAAAAGAAGTTTAAGTATCCTTTCCTGAATATATGGGCTTGACTCCTGGCATCTGGGGGCAGCAGAGAAATTCTTTGTGGTGTAACAGTAAAGCAAGTGCAATGCTGATGAAAACGGAAAAATAGATCCATGCTGGGGAAGCCATAAGCATTATTTATGGAGCAATGGGGAATTACTAGCAGCAGCAGGGAGTATGGAGCAGAAGCCATGCTACTTAACCAAAATAAATGCTCACAGTGGACCATTGGATCAGCAGGGGTGAGATCAACAGTACTCCTATTTTTCCAAGCGGTTGCCTGATTGCAGTAGTGGGGAGTGAAAGTGACACAAGTCTTTGGGTGCATCTTGTTAGTTTATTCTGAATGAAGATATCTGCATCAGAATCCTGGAGTCACTGCAGAAATTAGTCAACAACTGTTGACATCCTTTTGAAACAAGATTAGTTAGTACACTGGCTCTTTCTAAGAATTAATATTTTATTCTGTGATTATGGAATGGAGATGTAAATTTCAATATGTCAATCCATGTGCCTGCTATCCAAATGTGAAATTCACGTCATCTAAACTTCATCACTTAGTGTAAGATAGTCTAGAATTTATTTCTTAGTCAGTGGAGTGAGAACGGCACCTTCAGAGGATAAGCCATCTTGGATTATGATAAAGGAACTAAAACCAAAATAGAGACCGCTGCTAGAAGACAGTGTAAAGTGTGCTTTCAGTATCAACTTACTATATATCACAAATATAAGGGGTTTGGCCTGTTGGTATGACAGTAGTTGCCATTAGTTACTTAAGACGTGCTAAAAGAGTCTTGTTTACAGACATTCAAGTGCAAGTATCTGCACATTTTTGTCCTAATTCAGCAAAGCACATGTCTTTAAATTTCAGTTATGTTAATAGTCCTGTAATTCAGTGGAACCACCAATCTGTTCACAGGTAAACCTGTACTTATGTTTTAGAGGATGGACATCTGCCTATTCAGCAGAACTGAGTTCCTACTGATCTACCTGTTGCTTTAGCATTTTGTTGGGCTGGGAGCTATAAGACCTAGTGCTCTAAAATATAACATTTCTTCCTTTTCTCTCTTTTAGTGATCTATTTTGCATCTTAGATACTTTCGATATGAGTGTCCTCTTTGATGTAGTTTCTTTCCCTTCTGATTTTGGTGTCATTGCTTCTCAGTGATCATCATATACATCTCTAGATTCTTTCCGTTTCTTCCATTTTTTTTTAATCTAAAGAAAAAAATCTTTTATCCTTTACATGTCTGTTTTGAAGAGCCATTTCTTAATATTTTCCTTAAATTTAAGAGACTGAATTTGCTTCTACAGTTGCCTTACTTTGTTCATTTTTAAGTGTTAAAACTTTACAGAAACACTCTGCTGCATAGACGCAAAATACACCTGAGTCAAATTTACCAGAGTGCAGAATGACAGTCCTCCATGTGAACTGTAGCAACCATAGCATGGGTGCATCATGGGGCTGTGGCTGTGATGCTGCACAGCCCATTTCTCCCCTTCTACAACACAACTGCTCCCATACTTCTAGCGGACCACGTCTGTGTTGTTAAATAACACATAACCGTTCGAGCTGTCATATCCTTTCCCTGCAGCCTCTGGAACAATCATATGAGGACCAGGAGTGACAGAACTCTGTCAAAATCTGTCAAGAGACTGCTCTTTTTTTATGTACTGGACTTCTCCCTCAACTTGAAGCATAGCCATCTCCAAACAGAAATACAATATTCTTAGGCCAAAGAGAGAACAAAAAATGCTAATGAGGAGAGTATAGAGCTGAGAAGAAGAGAGGCTTGAGTTTTTGTTCCTGTACTATTTTTGTGCTATTGTATAAAAAATAATATACAGTCCAGAGAACAGAAAACTTTTAATGTCAGACTCCATTTGCTCTGATAAGGTATCTTATCACTGGTCAGAGTTCCTAGGTCCTTTGCTTGATGGCTGCTAATTCACTGTGCAAACTAAGTAGTGTAACTCAGCAGGAGTAGGGAGCCCCACTACCACCATCCCAGACTTCTTTATCTGATGAACGTTGTGAACTCCCAGTAGGTAGAAGAGATGCATTTCAACTGTGAACAGTTGTGGTGAACAGTAGATGGGTATCCCTACATAGGTATCCTACATTTGGCTAAATACTATAATACTAAACAGTCCTTTGACTTCAACATGCTCTGCAAGTGGGACAAGACTGTTGTGTTTTATGCTAAAGTTGATCTGACAATCTGGCAAATCTGAGTCCATGTGTTTCTCCTGTGACAGTTTTGCAGGGGTTTAATATGGACAATGCAGCCAATCAGTGCTGCTGTTGCGCTATCCAATACTTCATTCCTCTTCCTCCTCCAGCCTTCCCTGTCTATGCACTTTCAGATAGTATTGCCAGTCAGTGCCTCAAGGTTTGTGCTCACCACCTCTACCTGCTGGGAGCCCCTTGGACCTGTGTGGTCCAGCTTCTGTTTGATCTCCTCACTGGCCTGTACTCTGGATCACAATTCTGTTGTTTCAGCTGTCTGGTTCTATCAAGACATTTGGTGTTTCTTACAACTCTCTTAAATGGATGCCTATTATGGCTTACAACTGTGAAGTGGGCTTAAACGCAACCATTATAGCATGCTTTAAACTTTAAGGATTATTCAATTTCCAGAAAACAATCTTACTTTTAATTGCTGGTATGTGCAAGGCATTTTCCAAATGTTTTGTTTTCTCTACTGCACTTAAGAGCATTGTTATTTTGGTACTCAATGACAAAAGTTTGCACACGCTCACAGACACAAAGGTCTGAAGAATAGATTTTAAAGTCTCTACGTGCAATAAACAACAAAGTCCCAGTTGAAAGGGCCCAGAGTGAAAGCTGAGCTCCCAAATGAATTGGACTAAAAAAGATAACACCCTGAGGCATCTGTATGTCTCAGCATTTAAATTATATCCCTTGAAATATCAGTTTGGACTTGGTGCCAAGAGATGGTTGAAGATCTTTTTCATGAATATATGCAATAGAAGACCAATCTGTTTAAATGAAATGTCTCTAATCATTTGTTATACCATAGTTTTGCTTTATTGTGCAATTTTGAATCATCTTGGTCCTTTAATAAAGATTTTGGATTGTTGCAAATGCTTTACAGCTTCATGGAATTATACAGTCTTGGTGTTACACTAAAAGAATAGGGAACAAAATAACTTTTCACTTACTCAGTGAATTATATGACTTCGAGGTTTTTTTTAAAACTGATTTCTCTTTTTGTTTTTAAGGCTTCTTCTTCTTAGTGCAGGTATGTTTGGTTAGAATTTATGGAAGAGACTTCATGACATTATTACAGTGGTGAAAAAATTATTTTGCAGATTTCATTTTCTTAGCCACTTCGCAATTATTGTGTTCTTTTCCTTCTTTAATTACAAATTCTATTTTTTTCCTTTTTAGGATTAGTGATTACATGGATTTGACCCCTGTAGATATCGTAGGAAAGAGATGTTATCACTTTATTCATGCTGAAGATGTGGAAGGCATCAGGCATAGTCATTTGGACTGTAAGTACCTCCATTTTTTGTCAAAATAATGTGCTATCAGATTGTTCCTGAACCACTGTTTATATTTCCTGACTGGAAGCCTGCATCTTGCAGCTGCTTTTTTTCATTACAGAACTTCATAGGAGGTAGCACAAATTTAGGTTTTTGTATCAGCTATTTTCAAGTCTTTCTATAGATGCATAGCATAACTCACATATGTTAGAATAAAAAATTGTATTTGTGTTACTAGAGTTTCCAGTAGCTGTTCATGCACATGTTCTGTGCATTATTTTACTCCCTCAAAGAGGTATTGCTTACGTGAGAAACACCTTTTCTACACAGAAAATGAACTCCTCTCATTGTTTTTTGTTTGAATCATAACACGGAGGTCAAAAACCAGCATATTTGGGATTTCACCAGATTGTTCAGTACAGAACTGAGCTACATCTTCACCAGTGTTTAAACCACGCAGTGCATTTACATCTAAACAACCTCAATCATCTAAGTCCCTGTTATTTCCACACGGGTAGTATCTGATGATCAGGATGAGGGAAATACAAAAGGATGAGGGAAATACAAAAGAAATACAAAAGGATGAGGGAAGTACAAAAATGTTTCAAGAGACAAACGTTACCAGAGAGCATGTGTCTCTGTATGGGGGAAGGGAGGTTCAGCTTGATTCCTTGTAATTAAACTCTTTATATTCTTCTTATTAAAAGCCATAGGGCCTAATTCTTTTCTTGTTGAGATCTGTTGACTTCAGTGATGGTGCTCCTGATTTACCCTGGTATGAAAAGAAACTTAAGCCCATAATCTCTAGTTTATCTGTGCCTGCAGATAATTCTTTGGAAGTTTCAGTGACTGACTGCGTTTATGATTGACTTGTATGTTTTTCTAATTTAAAAGGCCATCTGAAAGCTGCTTCTCTCACATTTGAATAGCTCTGCTTTTTCGAAGTCTTTATAATGTAGAATTTGGTGAATCCATGCACCATGTCCTGTTAGCACTCACTAGTGAAAGGGTAGCAACTCAAATCCAGCTACCTTTATTAAGTTCTTAGAGAACTACACAAGATGTTAGAAGACATTATAAATCTTTGGTCCCTTTGCTTGATACGTAAGAAAGACAGGAGAATAACTTTAACTGGAAAGCAAGACAGGAAGGACCACTTCTATGATAATATCTGGCAGCCAACACTACTATCAAGTTCTGTTAGCTTTCAAATAGTCCCTCAAATCACTTGCAGGTAAGGTGCATTTAGCATAAGAAGGTCAGGTTAGATAAAATTCTGTGGAAAAAAATCAACTATCCATAATGAAAAACAAATGGCCATTCTGCATCATTTACATTTGGATGTTTTAATATCCACAAGGATATGGCAGTTGATAAAAACGAAGGAACAAACCGAGAAACCTACTGGGTTCTCTTGAAACTGGAAGTCAAAAAATGACAAGTTGCTTTTCCACTGAATAATGTGACCAAGGAAATAAAAGATATTTATGACTGAGACTTAGCATACCACCTGGCAGAGATGAACATCCCATTTGAAAAAGACCTTAATCTTCTGAATGACCACTTCTCTCTGAAATAGAATATGCTTTATGAAACATTCATCTTCAGAAAACTTAGAGACTTCTTTCTCAAACAGTGCAGTGCAGTGCTGTGTGGCCTAGCGTATGAGCACTGGGCTAGCACTCAGGAGACCTCTGTGATTGCTTCACATTGCTGTAGATATTTCTGCTCTCACTGTATGTCTGACTTCAGCAGAGTTCCAAACTTTTTCTGTAACTATAGCATAAATATTCTTTCTAGGCTCAATATTTTCAGTAGGTGAGGTCACTTAGTTAGGTCTTTTATTTACAGGTGTTCTCATGGCATATAGGAACAGGATGTTCATAAAATCATTCAGGCTGGGAGGAACTCTGGAACACTATCTGAATCAAAATTGATTCATAGCAAATTTTTTAGGTCTTTGGCTAGCTGGTCTTGAAAACCTTCAAGGACAAGTATGCCACAACTTATCTGAGCAGCCTATTCCAACTACCCTTAATAAGGGCTTAATTATCACCACAGTGATTTATTTTTTTTTCCATCTGGCTGGTTAGAATTTCCCTGTTTTGATTGTGCAGCTCGTAGCTGCATCTTAGCAGACTGTTAGGTCTCCCAAAGCCACCTCTTCTTCAGATCAAGCAGGCCTGTCCCTACGGTTGAGTGTTCCAGCTCCTAACTTCTTGATAGCCCTCTGTTGAGCTCACTGAAGTTTATCACTATTTCGCTTGTACTGGAGTGCCCAAATTTGATGTTATTTTCCAGCTGCAGCATAAAAAAAGTCAAGTAAAGGGAAATAATGACTTTCTGTGATCTACTGGTTATCCCCTTTTGTACAGCCCATAAAGCTAGTTTGTGCTTAGTCTGTTGTCCACCTGGACCACTGGGTCCTTTTCAGCAAAGCAGCTACCCAGCCAGTCACTTCACAGCCTGTAGCATTACAGGGAGTCTGTCCATCCCAGGTACAGGCATTTGTTTTTTCATGTTGTTCAGAATCATGCTCTGGATGAACAATCGTGAAGTTTAAATTAGACTTGGGAATAGCTCAGTAAGTATACTTGCCCATTATAACTGCTGCAAAGGTTGAAGTGATGCCCAAAGAGATGCTTGATTTTTCTAGCATTTGGAAAAGTACTTTGTAGAAATGCCATGGGAAAGAAATCATAAAACTCCAAAATACTTCATAGCAAGTTTTCCATCACAGAAAATCAAGCTTAAACAAATCTAGAAAGATAAAATCCTTGTTTCAGTTTAAAAAAAGAACTAAAATTCAAGAATCTGCAACACTGGCTGTAGAAGGTAAGAGACAGCAGAACTGTAGTTTCCCTAAATAGATAAAGCAGGAGGTTTGTCAGTCCTATGCAGAATGCTTGCTTGATATGGATAAAAAGCAGTGTTATACAATGTTTTAAAGAGCAGCTGGAAGCTGAAATATCAGTTAAAAGGCTCTGTGAAAAAGTAATGCAGGACTTGAGAAAGCATCAATCTGAAGATGTATTTGGTAGATGCTTACAGAGAGCTTATAAAAATCTGATAGCTTTTTAAAGGACAGAAAATAGTTTTTAAAGATTAAAACAAGAATCCCAAATTGTATTGGTAAATCTAAGAGTAAGAAGAAACACAAAACTGTTACTGTTGCCTATTAATTGACAAAATATTAGAAAAAAAAATGGAAAAAATAAGATGAGTATATGCTCCCTTCTCATCCAGGTTATTCAAAGGCATCAAAGAGGAAAACAAAGAAAGATGAAAATGCTGCACAAAATCATACAAAAAAAAAAGAGAGCTGTTGATGGCTTCAGATCATAGCAACCTATTAGAAACTGTGAAAAACAGGCCTTGTTAACTCTATCTCAGATAAAAGAAGACAAAAGCTGTTTCAGGAATGTGACAATAACAAGTATAATGGTGAAGAAGGTCTACGGGACTGTAACAGTAACAACAATCTTTTGTAAGGGAACTGCTGCCCTAATTAAAGGTCAGCTACAGTCAATGGAAAACCTTTCATTGCTTCAAAGGACATGGGGATTATGTCTTAAAAAAGCAAATTTATAGAGATCCAAGTCCTGACCCCAACAAAGTAAATAGCAAAAATTCCACAAGGTTCAGTGGAGTCTAGATTTCTGCTTTGTGAGTTATGTTAGTTAAAGCTTAATGAGACCTCACCTGGAGTGCTGTGTCCAGATACGCAGTCCTTAGTACAGAAGAGACGTGAATGTGTTGGAGTGAATCCAGAGGAGAGGCATGAAAATGAGCCAGCAGATGGAACACCTTTCCTGTGCAGACAGACTGAGAGAACTGAGGATGTTCAGGAGAAGCGAAGGCTTTGGTGAGACCTCATAGTAGCCTTTATCGGGGGACTATAAGAAAGAAGGGACAGACTTTCATAGGTTTTTGTTGTGACAGGACATGGGGAAATGATTTCAGATTAAAACAAGGTGGATTTCGGTTGGATATAAGAAGAAAGTTTTTTACAGTAATGATGGTGAGGCACTGGAGCAGGTTGCCCAGAGGGGCGTTGGGTGCCTCATCTCTGGAGACATTCAAAGTCAGACTGGATAGGGCTCTGAGCAACCTGATGTAGCTGTAGGTGTCTCTGCTTATTGCGGGGGAGTTGCAGTGGATGGCCTTTAAGGGTCCCTTACAACTCAAACGATTCTATGATTTTAAGATTCTAATGCCCTTATGAATTGGTAAAATAACATTTATACTTTACCTGTACGTGTTCCTGCATCTATTCCAACACAGTAATATACAGTGACAATCCATAAATTACTGAAGCAAAAGCTTTTCTCAAGTATAAATAAAAAGGGATACCGTTTCTGTCTTGTTTCATACAAGCCAATTGATAGGTGTTACAATTTCACCTTATTAATGTATTTCCTATTTTGTAAGACTTCTTGGTTTCAGAAGTTAGGGAAATTTTTCATTTGTTAATCTTTGATGCATTTTTGAATAAATTGCTTGTAGAATCCTGACTGATACCACTTACAATAAATCAAGTCTCTCACTGAGAGAATAGTTACAATGTGCTGTAGTACACAGTCCAGCATCACAACACATCTGATGGCTCAGCTGACACCCCATAACTGACTTAGCTGCAATAGCTTGTGTTTGAATATGAGATCTCAAAAATTGCAAGTCTGGCCATACCCTGGCTCAGATACCATCCCTAATCCTACTCTGTATAACACAGTTCTTTGTTAGAATGTGTGGCATGAAAAGAGTAGAAGCTGAATGGTTTACACTGCATAGTTAAACATCTAGGACTAACATACTGAGAAGACCCCTTACAACTAGGTTACTTTTAAGAATAGAAAAGACGGTAGGGTCTCTCTTCCTATTTACCTCTGCCTAGAAACACTGCAGGGCTGAACTTCATATCAAGCAAAGAAAAGCCATGAATCTCTTTGCATGGGTAGAATTGTCTTTGCTCCAATGGTAAGAAAGTGATATAACAGATGGCAGGATAC